GGTAGTCCTCGACTTACGACTGGTTTAGTCCTTGACTTACGGCTGGTTTAGTCCTCGACTTACGACCGGTTGGGGGTCGCGCCATTAAAAAGGTTGAGAACCACTGGCCTAGACAGAGAGAAGACACTTTCTAGCAAATATTTGCCCAAATGCCTCCTTCCACAATAACGAGCACCAATTAAATAAGTGTGGTGGTTCCCCCGGTTTTGCGGTCCAGAAAATCCGATGGCAGAGAAAAACCCCATGTAGGAAATTCAGCTAATGAGTCTCCCAGCGGCTGGCTTCGTGCTCCTCCAAGATCATTAAAAACCCAGCCGGGATTCAAAGCGCCACGTTGCGACCCGCAGCCGAATGGAGCCTGACCTCGGCTTGCATTCCAGGAGGGGCTGGCCACGTTGCGCACGGCCCTCCCCGTCACACCACAGATGTCTGGCGATGCCCCTTGGTGCGCTCCAGTATTTAGGTAAATTCAAAGGCGCGACAAAAACATGGGTGTGCGCGTGGAGGCAGCTGCTATCCTTAAGGCACCCTGCATCTGTTTACTACGGAACCCGCGGCGCTCCTAAGTAAACACGGTTGTAAGCCCCCGCCGTGATGTGCCGTTGGCCTCTGCCCTCGACCTTGGTTGCTGGGCCCCACCATTTTCTGGACAGGCGGAGATTTGTTTTTATAACTTATAAAATAAAGCACGGAGCACTTTCTGTACCGTTGGAGCCTCCAAAAGAGGCCCAGGGGAGGGGGGGGGGGGGAAAGCTACTTGCTTGGCCAAAGCTTGTGGGCCATGTATGATTAAGTCTTGGTTTCTCTAGTCCTAACGGCAAAATGAAGCAGTGATCTGAGTATCATTTCTGACAGGGTTGAAAAGAATGGCGGGCAAGAATACAAGGGGGAACAGTGATCTGCGTTGGTGAATGACATGTTAGTGAACCCTGAAACCTGGTTTAATATGGATGACCAGGTAAAGGCATTAAAGCCCTCTGCTCTCCCAAAGCTGATAGGATATTTTTTACACACATTCTCCATGCTTGGCTATCATTAGCTATCTATCTATCTATCTATCTATCTATCTATCTATCTATCTATCTATCTATCTATCTATCTATCTATCTATCTATCTATCTATCTATAATCTACCTACCTACCTACTTATCTATCTACCTACCTACCTGCTTACTTATCTATCTATCTATCTATCTATCTATCTATCTATCTATCTATCTATCTATCTATCTATCTATCTATAATCTACCTACCTACCTACTTATCTATCTACCTACCTACCTGCTTACTTATCTATCTATCTATCTATCTATCTATCTATCTATCTATCTATCTATCTATCTATCTATCTATCATCTACCTACCTACCTACCTACCTACCTACCTATCTATCTCTACCTACCTACCTACCTACCTATCTACTTATCTACCTATATCTATCTATCTATCTATCTATCTGTCAATTTATCTGTTGATTTATCTATCATCTAGAAGGTACAAAGGCATATTCAGGCATTGTAAAATATTTTCAAAGAAATACTTGTTAATTCATTGTGCAATCCTTGCATAATGACAGTGTCGGGAACAAAAACACAAGAGAGGAAAGAATAGGTTTTTTTTATAGGCTTAGGACTAGGTTGTCTTTTGTTATCCCCACCCACCCCTCCTCATACTTATAATCTAAGAGGCCGATAAAGGAGAATATTTGTAGTCAGGGTTGAAATGAGGGGTCCTTGGGGCTCTCTGAGCTTAGCAGTTTTCTTGCAGATGTTTCATTGCCCAACTAGGTAACAACATCCGTGCTAGAAGAGACTGGGGTTTGCTCTCCGTTTATATTCTAGTGCTTGCCCTGTCAGTGTTAATGCACCTGCCTCACACATCCTATGGTGGGGTGAGGAAACTTTTCAAAACTTCTGTGCTTCTGATTCCACCCACCCCCTCTCTATTCCAGGGACACATCTGGCCAAGGCAGATTCTGTACTATTTTCCGATCCTACTCCAGAGGAGCCCAGGTGAGTCCCACTAGCAATATTAAATCCTACTGCTATTTTTTCCTCAGAATAGACAAGAGCTTGAAGAAAAATGCTTCTTGGAATCATTGCTTAAGAGCTGCTTGATATCCCTGATTTTATGGAAAAGAGTGAGAAAAGGCAGATATCTCTTTTGGGACATTTTTTATATATTTATCTTTACCATTCCTAAATCACCCAGCTCCCTCCGAGATCCTCAAAATGCTTTACCTCAGGGTACAAGAGATAATTTTGCGCCCTCTCAATGTTTTGACCTACTGTTTCTAATTGTGATGTAATCTGAGGGCTACATTGGAATGAATGGACTTTGAAGTAGCAGGAGAGAAAGAGTGTTGATGTTTTTGAATGCTGGGGTGGCAGAAGACTCCTAAGAAGACCACGGTTAGCCAAGAAAACAAACAAATGGGTCCTAGAACAAATCAAGCCAGAGTTCACACTTGGGGCACAAAGTACGACATTCAAAATATCCTACTTTGCACACATCAGGTAAAGACCCAGCTGTCTGGAGAAGGCTGTAATTCTGGGAAAGGTGGAAGAAAGGTTAGAAGAGGAGGACCAGCAGCATGGTGGAGAGACTCAGTTATGGTGGGCACCATTAGAAGACCTGAAGGACCAAAGTAAGGACATATCCTCCTGGAGAAGATCCAGCGATGGTGCTTGCTAAGAGCTGAGTTGGTAGTACATAATAAAATTCTATCTAGCAAAGCCATAAAATACCCAGAGAAGTTAAATCTTGGGAAAGGTAGAAGGAAGGAGAAGGTGACCAGCAGCAAGGTGGAAGGACTCAGATGATGGGACACCTTTGAAAGACCTAAAGGACCAAGTTAGGGGCAGACCAACATAGAGAAAATTTATCTAGGTGATCACTAGGAGTCGAGAACAACTTAATGGCACATAATCAGTCATGGTAAAACAAATTCTGGAAAAGGTGGAAGGAAAGATTAGAAGAGGAGGACCAGCAACATGGAGGCACCATTAGAAGACCTGAAGGACCAAATTAGGGACAGATCCTCCTGGAGAAGATCCAGCGATGGTGCTTGCTAAGAACTTGGTTGCACATAATAATATTTTATTCAGGAAAGCCACATAATACTGAACAGTTCATAATCTTGGAAAAAGTAGAAGGAAGGAGAAAAGATGAGGATAACCAGCAACAAGCTGGAGGCAGTTACAGTGATGATGGAGGCACCTTTGGAAGACTTGAAGCATCAAGTCAGGGACAGA